ACTAAATTCCACTTAAAATAAATTCAATTATTTTACTGGAAAAGATACTTAAACTTCTCTATGTATTATGAAAAAAAAGTGATTGAAATTGACGTTAATTAATAAAAATCTAGATGTAATTTTATTTATCAAATACGACAATCTACTCCGCCTCCTTTTTTTTGCAGATAATAATTTATACTTTATGATGAATACGTAAATAACGTCTCTTTTACATTATTAGTACTCGTATTTTTTACTAGAAAAAGAAAGTATTTTAAATATACAAAACATCACTTTGCAGAGCTACAAACAGTGCATTTCCAATATCTCTCCATGAAAATCTCACTTGTATTTATCAAGGCTCTGCCAATATCATTAAACACTTGGCCACTTCACACGCAACTGACACTAATAATATATCAATGACCGTAAATACGTTCTATCAATTAAACACTTAATTATCGTATTCCGTGTCCTGCTTAGACACGAGATTACCTAAGAATATAACAGGGAGTGTCTCGCAAACGATTATAAAAAATTGTATAACAGAATGCTTACGTCTATCGAGAGAAATGTTAGTTCATATTATCTTCCCTCGCGTATCTTATGCGCTATCAGAAAAAAAAGGCTCACAACGATAGATTAACCTTTAAGCGTTGGCTTCAGATACTCTACGCAATTTTCCTGCTGCCTCTGGGAATTAATTTTAGACGGTATCTTCAACTCATCTTGAAATATCCTATAAATGATTCACGGTACGATATCGGCAAACATATTATATAAGAGATTCTATGATAAGAAAAAGTATACTTTTTTAAATAAAATATTCCAACAAAAACATAATATTCCAACATGTATCTTCTTCTGTTATTGAAGTAATATTTTTGTAGAAAAATATCGTTTAAAAACCTATTTTATTATTAATCAAATGTATAAAATATTTATATCGATGTTCTGGACATAATTATGTTAATGAAAAACATTAATTATTAAATTATTATTTTTAAAATACTTATCAACATAACTCTTTTAAATACGTGATTTACGTTTCTGAATTATAATCGAATAATAACTAAATAAAATAATTGTATGTCAAGGACCAACACTAAGTAGAAATGTGCGATAAACGCGATACATTGTACGATATAAATTCGCAGTATCTTATAACCTAACCTAGTTACGTTTGATAAAATCCTTGGCAGACGCCAACAGTATACTTTATATATGTGTGTAAAACGTATTATTTTTAAATTAATATTAAATCCTTACAAGAGAAAAAGCATTATTAACAACTTGTTCAATTGTCGCGATTAAGGCATGATCATGAATTTCTCGAACACATATTATTATGGTTTATTACGAAATGTATTATGCCAGTATTCATAGTCGATTCTTATTTTAAGATCGTCTTAAATAATGTCTTAAATCGCCCTCTGTGGCCCTCTGGGATTGGTTCATTACATCTTAAAACTGTACTTAAGATGGTCTTAAATAAGGTTCGACTATGAATACCGGTTTCAGTGTCAAAATTCAAAATGGATGAAACAGCATTTCTTATTAAGTATCGGAAATATTTTAAAGATCACTAAAAAAAACTGTCTCGATTATTTTGATGTCAATCATACGAGGTACAAAATTAGTTCTTAGACTGATCGCTTACTTAACTCTTAAGAAGATATTTGAGAGATTTTCCAAAGAATTTAAATTTTGTCTTTTAGTTCTTGTTCATAAATTTTAAAATAGTCAAAAGCATTAATTTTAATACGATACAATATTTCTTTCCTATTTTTTATATTATTAAATTTCTTAGATGATCAATAAAAATGATTAACATTCTTGAGGCTTTCTATATAAAGGGTGGCTTTCTATATAAAGATTATGCATTTCGCCAGTTTTCTCTGTATCCAGATCCATTCTTGAAATGCTAACGTTTCGTGCAAACTTGCAGTCCACTTCACCAGGACGAGAAATATCTGATATTATCAGGATATGGAAAAAATCCGCGAAACGCATAATCTTTATAATGATTAACATTATAGTTCTGAAAAAACTAAAAAAAAAAGATCTAAAGAAAATAAAAAAAACTGAGAGATTATTAATTATATTGAACTTCACTTTTTTCATATCGTTAGTTAAGAATTACTGTCTAAGAAAATTACTTTGAAAGGAATTACTTTGAAGGGAGAAAATAGAATTAGTCAATTATTTTTTTACAGCGTTAGTCCGGAAACTTTTTTATTGCATCTCGTAAGACATAAGTGACAGAACTTAAGCGTGAATAGGAGTTGTAGATGTTCGAGTAATTCTGTTATTCGGTGAAACTTGAACATGAGATTTCCGATAAAAAATAGCTGAATATTTCAAGTATCCGAATATCAAGATAATCTGCATTTATTTAAATATATACAGATAGTCTATGAATTGATCAAAAATATCACAAATATTTAATAAATATGGAAATATATACTGTAAAATGACGGTACCAGTACAAACATGGCAACAATTCAACCGTCTGAAAATATATGCATGATATTTGAAGTACTCGAATTATTCGACTATTCATCTTATTTGAAATAGAATTATTCGCATCTCAAAATCGAATTGCAGTAATACCTAAATATTCAAATATTCAAACGTATCAGGATTTCAAAAATTTACTTTACGTAGCTCTATTATGAACTTTTTTACATTTATTTGTTACAACATCTTCTTGCATGTATCTAATTTACAAATGCGATCAAGGTAGTTCTTATCTCGCTATATTTATAATTAATGTTCATTATCTCTTAATAAACAATTTATCATAGACAATTATGCAATGCATTTCTAAAAAATAATCGCACGCTGAAGGGAGATAATTCTTCCAACGAATTCATGTTTGTTAATTGCTTTAAACAAAAGCTCTTTTCTAAAAGTTACAAAAAAATCTATTAAAATATGTGCGTAGAAGATATTCCGCGCGTGCGACAAAGATCAATAATTAAGAATCAACAATATAAAAAGGATCCTCGATGGAACAGTGAACTTGGAACATGTTAATGTATATTTAATAACACAACGTAGCAACAGTAGGTTATACATATAGTACGTACATGCAGACAGAGCGGATAGACTTACATTTGATCCTTACATGCATGCTACGTGATCAGTTATATTCATGCTCGTACACTTGATTACTCGTAACACGTATTCGCCATTTCATATTTGTTGTATAGTTGCAGCCCGAGATTATCGCCAAGTGTTATAACCGGCGTAATTTCGGTGCGAGTTGCTACAGATATCAAAAAACGTATTTCACATCAATTTGGATGTACATTCAGATATCATTTCTGTACGCAAGTGCACGTATGTATGTGTAAGTGTCTATAGCATCGAAATTTAAAACTAGCAAAAAATTGTATCAATTTTAAAATCCTGATTGTTTCTACGTTCCTCCAGTTAATTGCTATCACCGCTGATCGCATCCTTCTTTTATTTTCCCGTTCTATTTTATTATCATTGTTACACTTAATTGCCACCGATAGATATGAATTGGAATAGACTCGGTGATCTTGTAATAATTCGCACATCTGCAGTTAAATCTACAGTTTTCGTATCGTCTCTCGTATAAAAACCTTACGAAAATAATTACTCTATTTTAAAAACCGGCAATTCGCTTACGGCGTTACCATCTTACAGTTATAAGGATTCAAAGTAATCCTGTTGCCCTTGGAGAAAAAACGCAAAAGCCGATCTCGGCCCTTAAAATGTAACGAATTACGCGATCATTCGATCGCTCTATCACGTCATCGACGTGCTCGGAAATCCGCGATCTGATCGATCGTGGTGCCAATGAACAAAGTACGCCCTTTTGTTCTTTTATCGTCGACGGATAATCACGTGCGATGAAATAACGAGCTGTGACAAGCACGATAAATGTTGTGACTTCAGAAGGCTACGAGAAATGCCCTCGGATAATCTGGATTAGTCTCGATGTGCAAACGCGATGGTGTAAACGATCAAGCTCGAGAAAACCCTGTCAATTAATCCAGCAAGAACGAACAAACGCCTATGATGATAGTGATAGGACCTACTTTGGACTGCCATTTGATTATTTTATTTCTCAATTATATAAGAATGTAAAAAAATGTCTTTAAAAACATCTTTAAAGAATGTCGGAAAAAAGAAACCATCTTTCAGATGTCTTTACCTCACACATTTGCATTATCATAAGTTTTTCTCATGTCCTTGGCACGAGTCGCAAGTGTGGAGAGCAACGGCGTTTGCACGGATTACAAACAGATATCTCAGATTAATGTTTCGGTAAGAACATATACATACGTAACTTTAGTAATTATAATTTTAAATACGTTAATAATTTTAAATACGTTATGATAAATCACATGTACCGGTAGTATTTGCAAAGATCAATTAACTCATTGCTACTTCAAATTAATTGTTTTCTTATTCTGATCCACAAAGAATGAATATATGAATGAAAAATTTAAATGTACATCAAAGATGCATATTAGAAGATGGCGTGAGTTATAGTCGAATGATTTATTGACCAATATTTTCTTCTGAAAAATACATGTAAACAAACTGCATGTACTGATAGTATTTACAAAGATCAATTAACTCATTACTACTAAATTAATTTTATTCTTATTTTACTCTAAGAATAAATACATTAGAATGAAAAATGTTAATGGATATTAGAGATACATATTGAGAATGGTGTAAATCTTACAAAGAAACCAACCATAATCTATTGACCAATAGTTTCTTCTGAAAAATATTTTAAAATATATAAAACAAATTATTCTTTGTAATCACAATATTGACCATTAATGACATCTACAAATTATTATATGCTCATTCATCTCGCTATGGATTCGTATTATCTAATCTCGATTTTTAGTGCAATTGGTGATCTCAACGTGTACGAAACATGTACGAATGAATCTGCGGTATGCAATATTAGATACACGTGTAGATAATGCTTTATGCGATTTATTTTATCAATGTCTTGTTCTGTTCGAAGACTACTCATATGAAAATCGAGTCTTACACTATGCTATGTCTTCCGTTGTATATTCGATAAAGCTCCGCACTTAATTGGTGTACACGCTTCCACTCCTGCCTCCTTAATTACGATATCCAAATGATGAGGATCGGCTTAATTGTTTGTCATGATGACGGAAGTGCAGTGTGTCTACTATCAAGAGACAACGACTCAATTCATATTCGCATTCGCACGAGTCATCATTGTCACTCACCGTTGTCGCGCTAATTACGTACTGACGTACTCGACATACAAGGGTGCATGCATCCGCCGCAATCGTAACAAACCCATCCTACTTTACATTTAACTAGTAGACTTAATTAGACTCATCGTTCAAACGTACCGTACAAATATCTCGAACATAGAAGAAGTTCTAAGATTCATTGAAGCGTAAATCTCGTCTCTTGGATCGCCTAGAAAGCTACTTCATCGTGTCATTGGACGAACAATTGTACAACTCGCAGCGGTGAACTCGTCTTAACAACTAGAATATATTACGTAGGATACGCAGTGGCTAACATTGTGACAAAATCCAAATAACGGTGTCTTTCGTAAGGGCAATGGCAGGGCAACGATTCGTAGTCTGCCGGGAAAGATTTCTTCTCCTCCGGCTCTCGTTTTTCCATTGACAATTTCCGGCCCGAGTAACAATCATGTCGATCATCCACAAGATGATCCATAATTCTCGGACTGGCTGACTTCGGCCAGATTTTGGCTTCTAACCATGCGTTAGAGTGGCCGATCGAGATGCAAAGGCCACCACGTTCTCTTTCAGTTTGATCGGGTATTAAATCAGCATAGTAAAGGCTACCTCAGGGCACCTTCGACTTACATGGCTACAATTACACACCAGTGTGATTGAATATGTAAGAAACATTGCTATCCTGATGGACCGGTGGTCCGTGCCAGCGTCTCGTCGATGAGTTGTTATTGTTGTTGACATAATAAGAGGACTTCCTCATGCTCGTTGAGGAGGACATCATCGCGACGGTCTCGTAATACCTGAGTTTGCCGCAGCACCGGCCGCTCTTCAGGATGGCGATGAAGCCGCGTCGGTATTTCTTGTTGAAGAAAGCGTAGAGGATCGGATTTATGCAGGAATTGCTGGCGCCTAGCCACTGGGCGATCGGCGTGGCGATCGGCAGAATTTCGTCCTCCCTCTCAGCCACGTCGCCACCTAGTTTGACTACAGCAAAGATCACGTAGAGAGGCAACCATGAGAGGACGAAAAGTATCACGACCACGACCAACATCTTGACCACCTTCACCTTCGACTTCTGCTGTATCCTCTCCATCTGAGCGTCCTTGGTATCGGTGGGTATATGCCTGCGCCACACCTTGATCCAGATGAGAATATAGCAGAGAGATATGAGTATCATTGGTAACACGTAGCAAAGAATTAAATTGCCAATTAGAAAGAACAGTGAGCCGTCCTTAGGATGCGGCCACTTTTCCAGGCAGAAACGTAAATCGGGATCATCGTCGTAGATGGAGACCAAGTCAAAAAATAGCAACCAGGGTGACGTCATTGTCAGAGCGATGAACCAGATTACGACGATTATCATGCGAGCTCGCCGCTTCGTGATTTGACATTTTAACGGCCACCAGATTGCCAAAAACCTGAAAAAGATAAACCGCATAAGTCGTTAATATTATTACCATCATTTTATTCGCCAATCTTAAAAATAAAAGCTTAAATCGCGTAAAATTAGATATAGTTTAAAAGTTATAGCGTAAATAAATAATATTAGATATTTACATTTATACACTCATACAAATCGATTAAATTTAAATTGAGAATCTGCTTAAGAGAATTCATAAAATTTAAAATATATTCATCTGAAATATAATATATTTCTAAATATATATTTCTAAACATAATATATATATTTTTAAATAAAAATATAGTTAAAATAATTAAAAATTTTTGAGATATATAAAACTATCACAAAAAGTTACTTTTAAGCATTTAAGGCTAATTGTTTCATCTTTGGCTATTAATAATATTTATAATAATTCATCTATATAATGAATAAGTAAGAATATAAAAGAATAAGACAACAAAGAGTAAGAAAGAGATGCGATTTATCAAAAGATAAATCCAATCTTAAAAATTGCCTTTTTTAACATATTAATTAGTAGGATTTATTTAATATATCAAAAATTCTTGGTCCAACATCTCGCAATAATCTCATTTTGTTGAAGTAGACAAAAAGAATTAAATACGCGCGGTTTTATCTCCCATATAATTTATTAATGCAATAAGACTTCAAAAGAAATATGCAATAATTAGTGCAATAATACATCAAAAGAAGTATATGTATAATAATTATTGAAATCAAGTAGTGATATTATACTATTCCATTTATTAAATAATGATTAAAAATATACATCAAACCTATCGCGAAAAAACAAGATTTTTAGTGTAAAAGGATATAAGAAGGGAGTGATATCTTTTGTTCAGACAAAGTTTTTAGTTATTAGCGACTATTTTATCAGTGATAAACTTGTACCCTCCCTTTTACGCAAAATATACTTGCGCGTTAGATAACCGTTTAATTTATTGTATCGTGAATGAAGAATGCAGAATAGCCATTTTATAGGCATCAAGACAGGTTCGGTTGAGCCACGGACGCCTACGCGCGCGTAGAAAATCGCTGTCCTGTCGCGTCATTTTTAGGCTTTACAGAATTGCCAACAAATATTCCATTCGCTGTTTCGAAAGACACCCGTCACGCTTCGATGGGCATGCCGCGAGTTGTATATGAGAATAGATACGAGTAACATGTCTTATATGATTCAAGAATTCTCATTTAGTGTCTGGATTTAAGACAAGTTGGATTATTTCGAGAAAAATCTGTCGAGGCGTGTTTTCATTTCGATGGAGCTGATCACCTTCAAGTGAATGAACCAACCATTTATTAACATTCTAAGACAAGCCTTCTAAAACAAAAGATAATAAGTTCAGAAATAATTATAGTTGCTATCATAGAAATGTCTTAGAAATTTTTCTACGACACACGAAGCTAATACTTGTATAAGTAAACATATGTAATGTAATGTAAGAGAAAAAAAATAAGTATAATATTTTTTTATCTCTTATTATAAAGCCGATATTTATACTCTAAAAATATGGATGGGAAATTAACTATGCAGTGATTATATAATTCTTACTATGTTAATATTGATATAAATAAGATTAAATTGATATAAATAACAGAATTATATAAACATCGCATGGTGTTAAATTCCCACACCCATTTTTCTTACAGCATAATTATTGGTTCTATAATGACAATTAATGTTATACTTATTCATTTTATATTACATTACATATCTTGACGTATACAAGTATTCCTGTATGGGAAAGACATTTCTATCTGTTTATAGCAACATAGTGAAAATTATATAAACACTACCGTATTTTGTTAGAATGTGTACAAATAGGGATGTACTATCTCCGAATTTGCTAAAAATCGATTTTTTGCAAAAAGATAGCTTTAAAATAATTCTCTTTATTAAAAAAAAAAGTGATTCTTTACAAAAATTGATTAAAAATTGTCCCTTTTAATTAAAAAAATCAATTTTTTTCTCATATAAAATATGTATATTGAAACAGGAAAAAAATAATGACATAATATAGAGAAGAATTTATTCGTTAAATTCTAAAATCATATAAATTGCATTCGCCCGTATTTAAGAACGTGAGATAAGAACGTGAGATAAGAATAGGATAAAAATCGTATAAATCGCTATCAAAGTAGTTGGAATGCGCGGACCATCGATTTACGACAACGACGATGACAACGCAAGGTGAGAGCAATTGATGATTCTTTCGTTTCAGAGTTTTTTATGACGATGAAGCACGTTCAGATTCGGAGGAGATCCGCGCGAGATAAAGCGCGCGCGTCTTTGTGATGCAAAGAAACCATAAAAGCGGGACTCGTCGAGTCGCGCGAAAAGCAGGAGTATTTCTTTTTCCTCATTAATTAAATGGTCCCCGCCCACGGAGAAACGTCGAATACTATCTTTAATGAACGTTTCTCTCTCGCAACGCCTGTACAGACCGTACAGCTTCCGGATTCATTAAGTCGCCATTTTACCACTCACACCAACAGTCGCGAATTTTCCGCCTCCGCTATATAAGCGCCGCCCTTCTCTTCGTGTTATCGGCATCATCGACTGCGATCTTCGTCGTTGTAACCTTCAATTCAATGAATAAATTTTAAATACTTGTCGTCGTGACCTTCCATAAATCAATGCGTCCGATACCGATCTGCAAGCGTTCTCACGGAGCGCACGTCACTTCCGAGTGGCGGCGCGTGTACATCGCATTTATCTCGATGTGTATCATGTACAAACAACGAACCCCGAGTCTGATATCCACTCAACGACGAGGAGCCAGACGGCGAGAAAAGTTGAAAAAAATAGCCAACGCGGAAATCTAGCTTGCCCAAGGCTGCCTATGATCGCGCAGTGGGGCGAACACAATGAGACGTTCGCAATGATGATCCCGGAGATGTATCTATATAAAGGGATCGATTTCCCGTAGTTGCAACTGCAGTACCGAACAGTGTCGTCCTGTGTGTTCTTTAACGGGAATAAAGCTGATAAAACGCTTAACATGTTCAAACTGGCAAGTATATCCATCGTATACATTCGTGCGTGTTCGTTTGTCTACATCTATCTATAGTGTGTCCGATGCACTTCCAGTCATAAGGATATTTCTACGACTTAGGCCAGTATTTATAGATCGATATTTGTACACGGAGATTCTTATATTTAAGAATCTTACTGATTGACGTCTTAAAATGTCACGAACCAGAGGGCGATATTCACAGTTTATTCTTTTTCAAGACTGTCTTAAATAATGTCTTAATATAGCCTTTTGATTGTGACATCTTAAGATTGTACTTAAGATAGTCTCAAATATAAGACTGGACTATGAATATCGGCCAGAGAGCCATACTAGAAGACATTAAGACATTATTTAAGTCTTGAAATAAAAATTGGCTATATAGGACCTTCTATAGATGGTATTTATAGTCCATTTTTATTTCAAAACTATTTTTTAAGACGCTAATATAGCTTTTTGATTGGTTCGTGACTTCTTAAGACTGTACTTAAGACAATCATGAATATAAGATCTGACTATGAATACCGGCTTAAGAAATATTGGTCTGAAATAATGTCTTAAAATATTAAAGATATAATAAAAGGAATAAAGAAAGGAATAAGGAACAAGGATTAATAGATTTCAACCTATCAAATATTCTTTATTTTTTATTCCTTTCATCGTGTCTGAGCTCTAAATAATTTTGCGATTGGTTTATGGCATCTTAAGACTATACTTAAGACAATCTTAAATATAAGAACTAACTATAAATATCAGCTTTAGTTTTCAAACATCGGTACAAAGTGTCGCGTTATGTGAGATTTTTGAAAAATTCGTACATCAAAATTGTCATTGAAGCACAATCTTTAATGTTCAATATAAAGTTTTGTTCAGTGCATCAAATAAAATCCGAATACTGAATACATTCTGCGCCTTTAATGCTTTTCTAAGCATTAACATTACGACTACAGAATACTGTTCAATTTCGTTAATAAACGTATCGACAGAGCGCTTTCGCTTCATAAATTCGTCGAGTTTTTCCCGAATCGAGAATGCTCAAACACTTCGCTTCATACGTAAAAGCGTCCACGATCGATCAATCCGTGTAATCCTTTTCAAAGCGGAATATCCGGAATGGAAAGAGAAAAACGTTATCGTGAAATTACAGTGCCGTCGAAATCGAAATACCGCAGAAATGTTTTCAAAATTTTCGCGGAACGTCTGTGTTAAACGGATAATTGAATTACCATAAAAGAAGAAGAAAAATAAAAGCAGGACGCTATCATCGCGGATCGAGGAAAATGGAAAAAAGAGATCATTCTTGGCACGTGCGATTGTCCCGGTGATTAATTGGAGCGAGGTGATATCAAGCTAGCGATTGCAAAAAACAGGCCGATCAGGCGTCGCCAAAGTCACCGGCGACATTAAATGCGCCTCACTTGCTCGCTCAAGCACACTCTCGACATTTTTCATAGTGCCCATAAAAACCAGGAATCAGGAAACGATGGGGGGAAAGGTGATGGACAGACCGGGCGTGCGATTTAAGTGACGTGTTCCGATTTCAAAATGTAATCATCCTTATTGCTTTCCAGATTCTAATGGCTATCGCAGTGGTAGCAGTTACATGCGCACCAATGCCGGAACCGGCTCCAGCACCGGTATCAGGTCCTCTGCCACCATTGTTGGCCCCTTACCCAGTGATCTACACTGCACCTTACGTGAAGGTGTACCCATATCAACCGGTTCCTTTGGCGTATAACCTTGGCTATAACGGCTATTATAATGGCTACTACAACAAGTTTCATCCAGGCTCAGCGTACGCTTACTAACATTGATTCGTATCCAGACTATTCAGTGGATCGCCAACACCATCGTGATTTCCTCGTACAACGCGACTCACCGCAACGCGCCAAATGATTCTGAATCATGGAACGTTTCTAAAATAAAATATTCTCTTGCTGCAAACACCGCAGTGTGCTCGACTATGACGATTTCCCTCTGCCTTCTCTCCTACCCACCCTCTTTTCTAGCCGACATCTGTTAATACTGCTTCGCGAAAGAGGATCTCTCATCCGAGCTTTTGGCAGACTCCGCGCTATCGAGCGGCCCATCAATTTCGTCCGTTTGTTCGCTGGTAAAATTTATGAAACAACACGCATTATACCGCATAATCGCGCAGTTCGCGGACAAATAATTCCATTTTAACCCATTATCTGCCAACGATATATTTTCAGGATAGTATGTTGAATTTTGATCTCGCATTCTGCGCTATGCCGCAATAAACAATTCCGCACAAATAATGTGAAGCAAATAGGAAACAGATGTGAATAAAAGCGTGAAGCAACAAGATTAAATGCTCATAACGGGAAAAATGTTTCTCTTTTCGCGACGATTTATTTTGGATCATTTATTTGATCTTAATGAGCTTCAGCCCCATAACTTATCGTTAGATAAATAACCTGAAGATACGTGAATGAAAACATGAATTATATAAGAATATAAAGAAAAATGTGTTGAAAACATGTAATATTAAATTTATTAATAATTTTATATCATATCGCGTGAAATATTTTCATACAAAATCGTCAAAAAATGACATTTCCATATTTAATGACTATTAAAAAATTATTAAATATAATTTTGTTTGATTATTCCATTTATTCGGAAAATATTAGTTATTCTGAAATCTTTAGCATATAATAAATTCTTTTGGACATTTTGCTACATTTATGGTACCCAACATTTTATGATAAATCTGTTTAAATTTAAAAATATATATACAAAATATATATACATATAAGAAATACGTGTCACATTTAAATTCACTTATTAATTACAATTCATAATGGTGCATTAAATATGAAAGTTTGTTACGCATACAAATTTACAAGAAATCGTGAAAGTTTATCTTATTCTCTATGTAAGATACGTATAGGAACATATCAGCATACTAATGCGAATTAACATGTATAACACATATTATTCTGATAAAGAACTTACGATAACGCATAATAATATCAGATTACTTCGACTATTATTACTATTCCTTTAATTTCATTTTGGAAAAGAGGCACTAACATAATTAACTGTATTTCATGTGATATGGACTGTTGCTTCTTTACACTGTAGAAAAAAAATAATGTCTCTTACATTATCACCAAAAATTAAAAGCAACGGGAGTAGTTTTCCTCAGAAACTGTTCCTTTGCTTAAATAAATAAAAAGAATTTACTTTTTTAAAAGTATGTTTCTAAAGTACGTGAAAATAAGAGTTTTACAAATCAAACAAGTGAGAAATAAAATGCATTAATGCATCATGTATAATCATCGGAATTTATATTTTTAGGTAAAAATGGGATTACAAAGAAGGACTTTATATTTCTTTTGTTCGTTAATTTCCACAAATCCCAATGTCAGTTTTATACGAATCATAAAATGACACTTGGCATTCTCTCTGCGCCTATGACTCGTTTCGGCGCAATATTCGACATAGCATCTGATAAGATAAACCGAATGCAACGTAGCAAGCATCTCGTCAAATAGAAATACTTCGGAAGGACGATGGATAAAAGAGGAATTATTTCGAGAATAATTCGCAGAGACGCTCGTAAAGCAATACTCGGACTCTGCACTAGTATAGTAGGCGTGTGTTAACTGTACTCCATTTGTCTGTGTGTAAACAAGATGTAGTTATAGAAGTTATGCTTCGATGTATCTATAATATCTATGTCGCGAGAACAAAAAAATACGTTTACGCGCGCTTCGATTTATTGCGCCCTTAGTAATGTACGTGCGTTCAATAAAATTGCTACTAGCATGGAAATATTGTGGATAAGGTCGGATAACGTCGGCAGACGCAGAATGGCGAACGGAAGGCATAAAAATCTTTTCGCAGGGCCAGCAAGGATATTATCTTTATAGCAGCGTTATTCTCCTTCCTTTATTATTTAGAGCGAACTACCTCTGAGATTAGGAATTGAACAATAAGACTCACTTTGGTTTATAATTAAAAATTTTATTAAAATTCCATATGAACGAGGGGAGGGCTCGGGATGATGGAGGAATGATCCAGGTGAGAGTCCGAAAATTTTATCGATAAAATACAAAGAAAAGACAAATAGGGAAACGGGAATTTGACCGATCCTACGCGGAGTGTTGGGCCTAATGGTTCACGCGTGGATAACGGCGATAAAGTGTGAAGAAGTCGAAATCGGTGATGAGAATTGCGTGCTAAATTTATCGTCTTTTCTTCACATTATGAGGAAGTAGGGGATGTGTCTTTTTTTCTTCCAGGGCTGCGTCGTCGTGACTCGGTGGTGGTAGTGGTGAGTTTACACTGGTTCTCTTAGATTAACCGTGCAGAGGGTAACCGTGGCCTGCCAAGACGGTTTTGGTGACAACAGCGGGAGTGTGAACAGCGGGAGCAATGGGCTGGGCAAGGACAACGGCGCCGTGGGAGTACGCTGGGGCAGCAGCAACGACGTGCGGGGCGACGATCGGGCCGACACCATGGCTGATGGATACGCCGGTAAGACCACCGGGATAGGCGACGGCGACAGCCAGGATGGCAGCGAAGACAGCCTATGAAGAAGATTGTAAGATGGATTTAGAGAGTTATACTGCTCTTCTTAATAGTCTTCTATAATAATCCGTCCTACGATGAGCTTGTGTATGTATTTTCCGTTCGATGTAACTTATGGTCCCGAAAGTTCATAAAGACAATAATTAAAATTACAGAAAATTCACCACATCATTGTTTATAAAAACAACATTACAAAATAATTAAAATTGCACGGCTAAACTATTGCAGTCATATTTATATATGAATATTCAAATTGGTTTCACAATTATCAGATCTTTTCGATCATATCAGACATCGCGCTAATCCAATCGGTCGTTTAAAAACGCGTGGGATCCAATATCGAACATCGTTTCGCAAGAAATCGCGACAGAGAATACGAAGTCGGTGGAACTGCATTAAAAAAATACGACACATATAAATAGTATTTCGCTTTGGTGGCAATGACGTCGGCGGCACTACCACTGCTAACAATATGCATGCTTCAGTGATTTCGTTCGCGTAGATTTCCGCTGCAAAGACTCGGATGCCATTGCGCCGTGAGACCGGTGAACGGTGTAAGGGCGGGTTCGTCGTCGTGTCGTACACGCTCGCATGCCAAAGCGGAAAGGTCGCAGCAAACGCGAAAGCCAAGGGTGGGAGAGGCCGGGAATCTTTTTTTCTTGTGTTTACATATATGCACACCGTAGGATAGTTGCCCGTCTCTTTATCGATCATAGGAGGCGCGAGAGTGAGGACGAAAGGAGTCCCCAGTGACGGTGTATTAGAGGCACTGTTTACTCGGGATATATAGACGCGTTATTCCAAATCGGCGAAAAGAAAATCTCGATTCGGAGTTGAAAAATAACGGTCGCGTTTCTCGTTAAAACCATAACGTCTTTTGGCGAATTCTCCCGTAATGATTTCTTCTTTTCGAATCAATGAATGACGGATACGACATGACATAGGAATCATGTTTGCAACGAAGATCCGAGAGAAAACGAACCGAAGGAACAGTAATCGCGACGATGCCTCCGTAAAATCAGTCAGCGGAAATACTGCCGTCCTATTTGTGGAAAATTTACATCTCGGAAAATCGATCGACGATAATTCTATTAGGATATCTGTGACGCGTATACTTTACGGTATTTGCGTTTTCATCGATAGTCAATCGGTACGTTAAGTTGACAAAGGATGCGATGGTCGACAAACAAGCGAAAACACCATTTGTTCCGTTTGAACGTCTTGTAATTGTAATCAAAGAAAAAACTTATAGACAAATTTAGAAAGGTTATAATTAGATAAATTTTTTATATATAGAAAACTTATAAAATAAAAATGAAGTAAATATGGAAGCTTACCAGCTTGAACATGTTGATTAGTTGGGGATAGCTTGTTACTTCTTGGAAGCAAAGACAGCTTATGTCCGTTTCGGCGACTTGGAAGCTTTATATATTGCATGGAATTTTTTTAAAATCGCCATAAATTTGATCATGTGACCTGAGGTATCTATATGACGATAGGCGCCAGTTAGTTGAGTCAGCCGATCACTGGACATGGTGGGATAGCTGGTGGACCAATCGTCTCTACGATACTAGTCTGATCGTCTCACCGGTTCGCCAATAATGTGCTTTCAACCCCTCGCGTCTATTGCGCGAATTAGGTTAAGACACTTCTGTAGTAAGATATGCAGGCAGAACCGATACCGGTGATACCTAACATGAAGCGGATGTGTGAGTGTGTGGGGTAAGTGATACATATGCGAAAAGAAAAATCGCGCGACTAGAGTCCGCCGGCAAATGCAAATTTGTTCCATAAAGACGCAGCCAAGGTCTAAATCTATGACCTTTTTTGTATTTTTTCAAACGTCGGATGCTGTGAGAGCACTTATCGATGAAATGAAATTAAGTTGAGATCGAACTTTGTTTCTCGAATCCAAGTATTTTTGCGAAAAGCAAGAAATTTATTTGTAAAAACTTTACAAGATTTAAAGCTATGATACAATTCTACAAATTTTAATTAGAGAATCATGGTCAGATGTTAGCTGAATGCAATATTTTAAAATTTCTTTCTCTTGCGCAAACATTTCGCAAGATAATCAAATAACAAGATTTAGAATATTAATAGAATAGTCGTGTGCCAATGTTTTGCTAAGTAATTACATAAAATACTTGATGTATCTTCCTAGATAATTATGCTTTAGGAGTTATGGAAAACTTCTGTCGGAATAAATAAAATTAATATACCGCGTGTTGCATCAATATGTTGGTCAGTATGTCAAGCTATTTTATAAATGCCTCCTTTAGCAAGAATTACATTTATAAAATGTAATTCTTTGATTGATTAATTTTAAAATATAATCGATCGATTAATTTTATAAATATAGGGTCTGTTAGAAAAGATATTACATTTATAAAATAATCTGATATACTAATATTTGATGCGACACATGGTACATACATATTATATATTTCCATTTTACAGAATAAAACTTTAAATGTCGCGCATTTTTGTTATTCACAATATCATTTCACAATATTACAATATCGTTTCAATATTAATTATCAATATTAATTATCAATTGCAATATCATTTCAATATTCATTTCCAGATTTGACTAAATAATTATAATAAATATTTGATGCGTTTCCCTAAATAATTACAGATAAAGCTTTATGAATCATAAAAAATTTTTATCAAATAAATGAAATTAATATATAATATTAATATATAATATTTTTACAAAGAAAAACCTGAAATGTCATTTTTGTTACTTATAATTTTTAGAGCACTTAGCTAACTTACATCATTCAATGTTCGGCAGATATAAACATACACACTTCGTAAATAAATATCAAGATTTTGATCAATTTAAATAACGCGAATTTTGATCAAATTTTACTATCCATTTAGACGTTATTCCTTGCGAATTAAATTATTTCTAGTCGTACTTGAAACTTACGATTGAAAATTCAACGGTTCGGGAAATCACGGAGATTAGAATAGTTCCTGTCATTCGCTAAGCGAATCTGAAATTAGAGGAAGAGCAATTTAATTCGCGCAACACCACACATCAGGGAGCAGCAGATCCTAGCCGCAGTAAGAGTCTCCAGAGGTTTCTTCGTTCGGAAAACGAAAGTGAAATAAAACTTTTATCAATGGAAGGTGTTGCGTAAATTAACAGCAGATTGAATAACGCGGCGCGATATTATGACTCGAATTACGAACGCGTCGTGAAACAGCGGCACGACAAGTGCGATCAAATATCGCAGGTCAAATCGAGACAATTTTTAGAGTCTCCTTGATAGATGTATGTGTATATGTATATATGTGTGTGTGTATATGTGTATGTGTGCGCAGTGCAAAATGATACACTAAAAAAATTTACTAACTTTTAATGAATATCTGTTCAAATAGTAATAAATAAACATTTACTTATAATAAATAAACAAATATTTACTCAATAAAAAAATGATATTTAAATCAAATTAATAGTTCTTATATCAAATAAATATATGCATTTACATTTAGCAAATATTTAGTTAATATCATATTCAAACAAATATTTATTAAAATTTAGTAAAATTTTTTTCAATATACAAAAACTGAATGTACTATTATTTATCGGCCGTTAATGTCCTAGGTAAATCACAGACAACATTGAAATAATCCTCTTCAATTTCGCAACGATTCTTATAGCACTTAGAGATAGAGTTAACCATCCATAACGAGAGCACGTTATGAGTGCGTGTGTGTTTTAGATGCAGCAATATCTTACAATACAGATGCACATATATTCCTTCGAGAAATCGTAACGAAAATAAGATCCTGTAAAATTTTCAGCATCGAAGCTCCGCTTTTATTCGACATATTGAAAGTTTCCAATAAGGGGAAATAACGCTGCTCGCAAATAGAATATTTCCTCTCATGCGCGAAATTTATTTCGCCAAATAAACGAGCTGGTGTAATTTAGGTTTCGCATGGTTTGCAAAGAATTGCAACAACATGACATTGCAAATTCGATGCGAGGTCCAGTCAATGCGCGATATCCCCTCGGATTTTTCTCAGGTTCAGAGGTTTCCCTATTTCTCGTTGCAAGGCATATGGGACAGGAGGAAGATATATTTTCAGCGCTCTTGGTTGCATCGTCGATCACATGACAAGAGCTGGAAGATACATTTGCGCACGTGGTAGGCGAAAGACAATTTTCCAAGTTTGGCACGGTCCCTCTCACTAAGCAATTCACAGAAGATCGATCGTTTCTGTAGATCCTATAAAACTGTTCCTCGGATTCACGGTAAAAGTCTTATCTTCTAATGTGTGCGTGAAATTGGTATCAGGTTATTTTTCTCCAAAAAAATTCAAATACGACCTATAATAACTTTCGCTTCTCCAACTTATTCTCTCTGATTTTTTTTCATTATATTTGTAATGAGAGACAATTTTTTTAACTCTGGTCTTTCGCAGTACCATTCAATTGAACAGGTGCATCTTTATGATACATCGCGCGAATAGATAATAATAATTTGTACCATGAATGAGATACGAATGCTACGTTTTATTCTCTCATAAAACGGAAGTGTCACGTAAGGTGCCGCGCACATTTCGTTTGTGTATAAAAGTCAATGTCTGCAAACGTGATTTTTATATGAAATAAGTTCGATGTGAAAACTATGTATTAGCGATAGTTAATAAATCTTCAATATAATACCGATAATGCGATACATGTTACGATATATTACGCTACACACTGAAACACATTGTTTCCTCTATTAATTCCACATTATATATTATATGATAAATTTTGAGTGTGAGTATAATGTGTGCTCATTATCACGAATATACCATAATGAAAACATGTCGATAATATGTGCGTTACACCGCGATCTATAATTATTGTCCGTGAGCGCGTTGCATTGCTGATGAGAGATAAATATGTCACGGTGGAACCCGTTACGGAGCTGCCGCAAGAAAAGCATTAGATTTCATCAGACATAAGGATAAGATTTGTATATTTTTAGTACTTTACTGTAAATCCACGTCAAAATAATGTAAGAATTCATCAGTATCTTATCTAAATAATTATACATAATTTCATTTAATTTATCCGGTTCGTATAACTGGTTTATTTGTAAAAATTTGGGGCTTGTCAAATTACTTCGGTATCGATAACGACACGCGCATGGCTACTCAATTATTGAATTTAAGATAATCTTAATCTCACTTTCAGTGTCCAAGATTAAAAAAAAAAGATCGACATATAAACGATTCTTTGATCGCCTTTGATTAGCATACGCGATTCGATCTATCGATCTAGAGCGTCCGTGAAGAGTAGGTATATATTAAATAAATACCTTCCCACTATGTACTACATCCACACACTATCTCTGTATATAGATCTCTGTATATAGATATAAAAAGCGGATGAATAACACTTACCTATCCAGAGAGACCGCAACCAGGCTGTAGACGGAGGCTGCCACGGAGACGCCCTGTATATAAGCAACCGCTTTGCACATGAACCATCCCAGGATCCACGCTGAAACACAAGTCCGTAATTTATTGTATCCGTACAAGTCCGTAATTTCGAGTATCGCTCTTGGAACTTCGGACGGCCGCCGAAGGGCTTTTTAGAGACTACTGTGGGAGCGGCCGACTTACGAAGGCCGAATATACTCAGAGTAAAAGCGAGGAACGCTAAGTCTAAGGATACTTGCCGAAGATACTAATTGTATCGTATTACAAACGCGAATAATTATAAAAATCACAAATTTGTTTAAGGATGTATATAAAAGTATTCTTTAATAAAATGAAAAAGTTCGAAATTTTTCTAAATTGTATTTGAAATATAAAAAGTTTGGCGGTAACTTAGAATCTGGATAAAAAATTATTTCAATTAGAAGTAGACATGTTTAAAAAATAATTAAGATGGAATGAGAGAATTTAAACTATAAAATTGTATTGTTAAATATAAAGTTAAATACCTTTAACTTTATTGTCAATTAATTATTTCATATATATAACATTAATTTTTTACAGAAAATATAAAGTTTACAATTTGAGTCACTTTTTACTAAGACTATTAGATTCGATGCATTCCAAATTTTTGTACAATATACAATCTTACGTACATAGCTAGCTTTCGGAAAAATTGATCGTTTCAAGAAGCGGGAATTCTATTCGCAATTTTCAACTAATTATACGAACTAATTAACGGAAGTTTGCGGGTCACTGAGTGTATCCTATATTATAATAGTTTGAAGTGAGTTTAAATGGATTATTTGAGGACAAGGATGTCGTGATGGCACAAATAATAGAATAGAGACAAAAAATAATACTTATATTTAAAATTAATTAGTACATGCTTGTGCTGTGTCAACGTATTTTAATGTCATTAGCGTGAGAAAAATTACGCTGCTTTATTCCTATTACAAATAAAATAAATAAATAAATAAAATTATTTTCTAAAAATCTCGTTATTTTTGAACGAAATAATATCTGAATAATAGTATCATTGTGTGGTAGTTACAACATTATAAATCCGAGTGACCTATTTTTTAGAAAAAAGCCAGCGTGTATCAATTTTATTACCCGTCACTTTTCTATACGCGTGCAACGACTATTATATTCTCTTTCGAGAAGAAAATAATTAATCCCGTACACGAAAATGAAGGAAACTCAAAACAAGAGAATTTTCATCAAGAGAGACAAAGAGGGAAAATTTTCAGAGCCATCCATCATTGTCTGCGATTGATGATACGATAAATAATTATCTCACATAATACAATATTGAAAGCATTTGGTAGTATAATATGATCGACGGGAAAGTTTATCGCGTTCTCAGAATAATAGGACTACGCAGTATGGAGCGAGAGAGGAGTCGATAGACCCATCAAAGAAAAGGTCGTTCATAAATATCGAGCATGTAACATCGCATCAAGAAATGCGAAGTGTAAATAAGGGTTATTCTCGATTTCCACGACTGACTCCATTCCAATCTCTTTGTGATCGCTAGTCGATGGTATGCTTGCGATCGGATTTCGCGCTACTGTGGTTTCGAACAATCGTGTCATAAATTCTAACAATTATGAAATAGAGCTGAACGAAACGAGACGATTCATGCTCTCGTCAACTCTCATGATGCATGATGCACGACGCTACAAATAATAAATAGCAACGTACAATCGTCGCGGACGAAAATTGCAGCGGTAGAGTTTTAGTTTAATATTAAGTTAGCAATGCCACGAGTATCTTCTAAATGGCATGATACAGAATTATGTTTTGTAGCACAAAATGAACACTAAATAGTTCAATAGGTTTTTTTCAATTTTGCTTATTTGGTCCTGCTTGCTTAACAAAAGTGGAGTATAGGAGATGTGTTATTCAGAGGATGTCGAAACGCTTGTTTATCGAATTCGTTCGATGTTCCGCTTGCTCTAATCGTACGACGACACGTTCGGACTAATACAATCCGGCCATAGAGTATTGTGCACGAAGTGAATGGTGTACGTACGAGGTCGCATAGAAGGGAACCTCCCGTGCAGATCGCGGTCGTTAAGCCGATAATTATTTATTCCGTATTCGAATACGTAATTTCTCGATAAAGCAAGTCCGACTATCGCATTGCATTAATATGCATCCACTCGCGAGAGATAATAGACAATACGAATTGCACGGGGGAAAGAATGTTCCCGCTCGCGGGAAACAGTCATCGGTAATTTCTGTAAATTAAACTTCATTCATTTTAATTAATATCAAATAAACTTCAACGAGAGATTTTCATTTGATGCCTAGACGATTAGACTGATGTTTATAGTCGGTTCTTATATTTCAAGACAGTCTTATGTAAAAACTTAAAATGCTAATACAGCTTTGTTACGACTGATTTATAATCTTAAAATTGTACACAATCCTGCTGATCTGCTTATATTATGCGATTATATCATTTAAGTCAACATAATTTTCAATCATAAAATAAATTTTCAATCAGAAAAAAGTTTTTTTAAGTTCTAAAAGATAAACAATAAAAGATTTTTACAGAAAAAAATCTTATATTGATAGATCTTATATTAATTGGCAAAGATTTCAAATGAAAAAAACGTTTCTAAGTAAAATATTAATAAAAAAGTGAATTACATTTTGGATCAAGTAGATCAGAGCCAGCAGGATTAAAACGAATCAAATATAAAAATTAACTATAAATACCAGTCATGTTAACTTTTATAAAATTACAAAAGAGAACATCCGGATATATGTAAAAAATAAATTTTTTTCTTCATGCATATTCATCGTTTAATTGAAGATTCTACATTCTATTCCATAGAAGTAATTAACTCTCGAACATAAAATGCTTTTTTCATAATATTGAATCAAATGTAATATCGCAGATCCCAAAGACTCGTGAAGTAAGACACATGAAAGTTTAAATAAAATTATTACGCATATAGCTTCTCAAGTAAAAAGATAATGATAGACTGCAGCACTGCAACAAAATTAAAGAGACCTCGAAAAGTTCAGATTCAATTCGGCAATTCGATTCTCGGATCTCAAGCTCAAAAATTCACTTTCATCGAATACAGTTTCGTTTCATTCGCCTAGTCTTGATTTAAGTTGTAACTTTCGGCTATATAATTTTAGCGAAGGACTTTCGTACGGTGTTAGTTTTAGAACTTCGACGAAAATATCGTGGTCATTGTCGCGCTAATATGTACGCGCGTCACGGATGACGGAAGTTAGATTTCGCGTCGCAAGAAAACTTTCGCAAAATCCACTTTTTCATGAGGAAGCCCTCTTATTCGGACACTCCAACCGGCGGCTTCCGATGGGACATTCAAAAAGTTTTTCGCTGAATAACTCGCGATCGTATATACGTGACTTGCGCCGGAACTTGTACGGAATTTTCAAACCATTTCAAAATGAATGTGTGAGAGTGAACCGATTTGAGATAAAATCAATGTCTTTGTTTCTTTAGCTTTAGAACTTATCGCTCCAGTCTTTTACCATCAGGAAAAGTTTTTCGCTGACAAAAAGGTAGCGGACAACATATATAACTTCGGGATACTAAAGTTCGTTAGGATGGCTGATACGTCGCGTCGACGTAAATAACTTATGACGAGATGGAAAAAATAGCCTCGTACTACATAAAGCCATTTATTGGTCGTCCGTAGGTATGTAATTACATAATCGTCCCGCGGCTTAGTATTTTCCCTTCTGTTCCACGGCGAAAGAAATGTCGATTGCGCCACTTTACAAAGGCTAACGCACGTAGAACCAGTTTCATAACTCTAATGCAACATGCAATAACGATTGATAATAGTGATAAACGCTCGGCCACCACTTCGTGGAAAGCGATTCGAGCATGTGTATTATTTTTATTTATACTTTTTCGTAGCGGGACATTTCTCAATAAAGAGACAAGGCTACTGATAAGGCTTACCAATAATGCGACCATTTACTATTTTTTCGTTATTTAAATTAATGCTTGGTCATGTATTCGGCGAACTTGAAAATCTGATAACTGTTATTGATCAATTGTAACCAAGTATCTCATTAGTTCAGGCTTTCACTTTTCTATTCATCTAGCCGTTAATAATATGTAATTTTTGTTTCAAAGCTGTCATTTATGTTAGCTGTCATTTATGTTTTATGGTAATTAATAATTAATCATGGATATTATGTCAGAATGAAAATTGAGGCAATAACTGGAAAATAGCCTTGGCCTTTTCATTAGAGCCTTTTTGTCAAAATGTTTCATTTCATTGACTCGATGGAGTTACATGTCAAATTTTTTTACAAAATTCATATCTTTAATACAAGGAATGTACACGTGACACTGTTTGAAGTAGCAAACAGAAACGTTTGAAAAGTGAATGTGATTGCCTTTTGAACTAACGTCGAATAATAGAACTATTGTTAATAAAATAAGGACAATTCTCGTAACTCGACTTTTATCGAACTCACAATTTCGAACAATTCCTATCAAGTTCGCCCATCAAATTCGTAACTTAACGGAATATCTCCTATCAACTTTTTTAGTATACTTTTCTTTGCAAGTGAAACCCTTTTTATGGCTATCGTCTCAATTGAAGTCTATTGCGCGGAAAAACGATCGCATGTGATGGAAGTTAAGTTAATCTCAGAAACACACAATGTCATGCATTAACAATCCTTTTTCCACTGTGGCCTTCGCCAATAAAAGAGAAAAAAAATCATCGCTTTTAATTGTCCACTATGGAAACAAGGTCCGATTAATCGACCGGTAGTAGCAAATTATCCCAAAGTCACGTTCACGATTTTAAATGTCAAATTTTTACAATCACGCCGTCTGCGTGTGTATATTATGTATCATATACGTATAGATGCAATATACACATACAATACCGTCTCTGCATATTACTTTCACTGTCTACGCTCGATTGGATAAGCTGCTAACCAGATATAATCTATATATGCACCGTCGGCGTGACTATGACCCCACGATCCACACTACATCACATAAGTACAGTGCACTATTCACTTACAATTAATGAGAATGGAAAG